TATTATAATAAGTGAAATTTATATTATACCCGGGTATTATTCCATAATCACAAATGCAAACCCGTGAATTGTACCCGTGAATTGTACCCGGGTCTTTTATATCGGGGGTATTATAGCAAGGGGGTACTGTAGTCAGTGCCGTACGGTATCTAAGATAGTCCAATAAAAAAATTTTCCTATGTCCATTTAAATTATTTGGACAATTGAACATGTCCAATTGTCCAAATTGTCCGAAATTATCACATCTCTGGTTCGGTCTGATCCGGGTTAATCAAAAATTCGTTATTTAGATTGTCTTGCTAGTGATAGAGATGTTTCTTTTACTGTGCGAAATGGAAATTTTAAATTTCAGCCAATCAAAGTAACTGAAAAAAAACAAATAGTTGCCAAGCTCGGTTTTTTTTAACTATGATTGACTTCTCAGCCAATTATGGTTTTCATTCATTAATTGAAAATTTTAGCTTATGCAAAATTATTTCAGGGAAAGAGTGCTTTCTACTGCAAAGGCTCCATCTTACAAGATTTTGCTATTTTCAAAAATAATTATTTATTATTTTTTAATTAAATAAAATATAACATTTCTTTGAGAATCAGCTAGCCGATTTTGGATATCCGATACTTCTATCAAAAAAGTATTTAAGCTTATCGGAACAGATTTCCTTCCAACAGGTGGAAATACGCGTCAAAAATCGGTTGGCTGTCAGACATACGATGTTCGATATTCTCAGAACTGTTATAGAAATTTTAAAATTCAGACCTACTTTCTTTGACTATTAAATCATCAAGATAGCTTCTAAATTTATCGAGATATGGTCTCCGAAAGTTAAGGATTTCTATTGATGGTAGTACATTACAGGATGATAATTTTCAAAAAAAAGATATATAAAATAAACTACATTTATTATAAAACGCACCTAAGTTGGTTTTGCACCTATCATATGTTTTATAGATTTTTCTAAGTTTTGAATATAAAAATTTTCATCCCAAAATTTTTATGTTAGTGTTAGTATTTAGGGGCGTAGAGTACTTTTACTTAGAACATCTTGCATTGATTAATTAGCCAGTTTTTGAGGTAATAAATACATAGGTGTAAAACACCATAGTTCCAGGTGAAATTAGTTAATTTCACCAGGAAACTGGTGCACCATCGGTGCACCGTTGAAGATTAGCTTTATCTATAACTCTAGCTTCACCATCGGTACTGCAACTCTAGTATCAACTCAGGTCGAAAATAGAGCACAAATCAGGTGTCTAATTTAAGCTGATTATTACCCGATTAGTTGATATCAATAGGGTAGTAATCGGGTAGTAACCAGCTTAAAATTAGACACCTGATTTGTACCCGATTAGCCATCATTCAACTTGTATTATAGAAAAATCTCAGTATCTAATTTTTTCTGATTTTTGGCGCCTATCGTGACAAAAACAAAGACTATAAGTAAGCTATCAGATACTTGATAGCGATAGATCTATCAAGTATCCGATAGTTTACTGATGGTTCTATCAACTCCCGATATATCTTTGTTGTTGTCACGACAGGCGCCAAAAATCAGAAAAAATCAGAACTTGATATTTCTATAATATTTATTTGATATACTTTATTTCAACCTGTGCATATCTATACTTAATTATGAACATTCATAAAATTATTACGAATATTTGTAATTATTGCATACTTATAACTATAAATATAACAAAAGTCAAAAAAAAAAATTTTTTAATAATGGATATTATAAATCATATCCACGGATATTTATCAAAATCTTTAATTATAAATAACTTTTGATTCACTGGTCCAATTTGGATAATTTTACCATCAAAATGACCGTCTCAATGCGAGTCCAAAATCATTAAAATCCAATCATGGGACCTGAGATAGTTAAGGATTTGTGTCACTTCGGGTGTTTTAGGATTGGCTTAATCAATCCTAAAACACCCGAAGTAACATAAATCCTTAACTTCCATGTTTGGATTTTAATGATTTTGAATTCATCTCATTGAGACGGTCATTTTGATGGTAAAATTATTCAAAGCGGACCAGTGAATCAAAAGTTATTTATAGTTAAAGAGTAATTCCAAATATCCGTGGATATGTAATTATTAAATAGTCTACTTAGAATGCAGGCACTAATTAGATTTAAGTATGAGCTAAAAAAAGCTTACAAATTACGGGATTTTTTATATTTAATCCTTTAATCAAATAAAATAAGAACTTTATAATAATTTTGTTATGCTTCTATTCTTTTATTAAAAATAAAAAAATATATATTTGACTTCAATTCATCTTAGTATTTTTACAGTACAAATTTTGATTATTTTTCGTGTGTCCCACCAGTTTTCAAAATAGCTGTAATGTAAAATATTTTCAGCTAATAGGAGGAATTGACATGAAAAAAATAATATAGAATGATATAGAATGAAGATGTTAAGTCTCAGAATAAAAATCTAATGTAGTTTTTTTTGGTAGTAGTAGTAAAAATAGTACTGTACGTACTGTACGTAATAATAAAACATCATCATCACGTTTTCTAAAGTAAACCTCCACGATATTGTAAATTCTAGAATATTCCAGTTATAGATGAAAATCATTTATTGCTGTATTGTTTATCCCTTTACCTGTTACGTATTAATTATTGCTTATTACGATTTAAATTAATATTAATATATATATAAGAAGCAATATTACAAATTGCGTTCTCCTAGAACGTTGTGCAATAGACTCGTGACCCACCTTGGCTAGTGCATTTTAATTTTACGTAATCGTTGTGATATCTGCCAGGCCGGCACAATATCGATATAGTTACCTCATGTATCTGATATAACGATAACTATTAAAAAATGTATTATTTTATTTAAAATTTAAAGCAGATTAAAGTAGACATAATAATAAATTAAAGTTGCATATACACAAATCAACAATTGTAAAGTAAAAATGATTATAAAAAAATGCCAGGATATAAAAAAAAAAAAAAAAAATTTACATGAATGTATTATTAAATTTTATATAATGAACTACTAAAATCATTAAAAAAACAAATTTATGCGGAATCTTGGGTGGCAACCTTACTTTGTGACGAAGATGCTTTTAATAGTTTATTTAGTACGACTCGTGAACCTTCGTGACCAAGTTCAGCTGCCTTAGAATAATAAAAAATTGCTTGATCTAAGTTTTTTTGTACCCCTGTTCCTTTTTCATAACAATCCCCAAGGAAATGCATTCCAACCACATTTCCTTGTTTCATTGCTTTTTTATAATAGCTGAAAGCTTTGTGACTATCTTTGCCGACTCCTTTGCCGAATTCGTAACAATATCCTGCCCAAACAATTCCGTTTGTAGATCCTCCTTCGGCGGCTTTTTGATACCATTGAAATGACATATTATCATCAGTTTTTGTTCCTAAACCTGAGGCGTAACTGTTTACATAAATTAAATTAAATTATTAAATTTATAATAATCAATGACAGAATTATTTTGACAAAGAAAGTATAGTCAAAAATTACCATTCACCAAGTAAATATTGAGCAATAGGATAGTCTTTTTTCGCGGCAGCAAGGTAAAGATTGTAAGCCTTTCTCGTATCTATTTCTGTGCCTATATCATGTAAGTAAAAGTATCCAAGGAGTGTTTTATATTCTAACTTATTTTGATTGTGTGACAGCCAATCAAGAATTTTTGGTGCACCACAATTAAATTTTTTGATAGTATCCAAGATGAGTTCAGTAAGTTGATTATCAGCTTTTCCAGTACGTTGTGAATGCAAGAAAATTCCCAATATTTGATCAACAACTTTTTTAGTCGTGTCTTGATGTTTACGGTAGGATAATGGTTGAGGACTCACACTTCTTCCTCTACTAGACGATATAGGTTGAGGACTAACACTTCTTCTTCTAGAGGCATTAAATGATGGTGGTTGAAGACTCAGGCTCCTTTTTCTTGAGTCGCCGAGTGAAGGTCTATTAACATCGAGAAAGGGGGATGATGTTGCCGCAGTCATTATTAAATATCGCAAGCAAGAAATAAGATTTAAAAAAAAAGTTTTTTTGTTATTGTTGCTTGAGATACGCCAAAATATCAAGATTTACAAAAGAATGTTAGGCAAAAGTTACGAGAACAAAATAAATAAATTTGTTACCCTCTTTATATTTTACAAAATTTAGCATTTATTTTTATTTTTTTTTTGTTTACGCTATTAGGGCACAAAATTATGAATGCGCATGGTTACACCGTAGAAATTTTACATTTGGATACAGCATTTATAATTTTGGCCCCAGGTGTATTATAGTTAAAATTTAGACTTCTCCCCCCAAATCTTAGTTGATCTACAAGGAGTAAATGAAAAGAGTTATTTCATTTCCCGTATCAACTGATCATGGAAATCCTTTTTTAAAACTATCGTTATGAAAATCCCCCCGTAATAAAATCTCAAGACCATCACTTGGAAACAAATAATTCTATTTGATATTTCTTTTATTTTGTACACGTAATATACTACATTATTTGCATTGAAATACTGTATTGTATATTACAAGAAATCTATAATTAGAATACTTAATAATATTCGTTATTGGCTATTGGTAAATTGGTTTATCTTAACAGATTTGCTTTTTGACACATATATGGACTGAGGGTAAAATATCTTAATGCAATGATAATGGGATTCCGGCAGGGAACAAATGATTTAGGATTCGTAGTTTAATTGCATTCCACCATTACCCTTTGGACTTTTTTGGGTATGATGCATTAATAAAAATATCATTTATGATTATTTATGACATACTTACTAAGCCACAAATATACAGATTTGTATAAGATAATCACACCCGTATAATATTAATTTTTTAACCAAAAAAGTACGCTTTTTTATTTAATACGTGTTGGTATTAAGTTTTTTTTTTTTTTAAAAAAAAAAAAATTCATAAGTCACTGGTCGGATCTATCGGTTTTAGTATGACCGGATTATCGGTTTCAAATAGCTTCTTCTTTAAAAGACAGTATTGGTTATCCGAATGGCCGAAAATATTATGGCATATAGAGCTATAGAAAACTTGATGTCAGTATGTTTACAATTACGATTTTGATTGGTTGTTCATACTGCAAATTATTACTTGCCATAACAGATAATAAACTATATATATACTACGTATCTATAAAATTTTATATACCTTGACCAATTTTAGGTATAAAAATTTTTAATTTAATCCCGGGTATACAAGCATAATACAATTTATAAATATTTCATTGTCCGGAGTGCAGCGGAACATTTTCGGGTATATAATAAATAGTAGTACAATATCACTTAGTCGGATAACACTACTGTGGAGATCTGTCTAGTAGTGTTCCAAGTTGATTAAGTTGACAACTAAGCAATTGATAGTTTTATTAATCAACTAGTCGATTTACAATAATTAATCGATTGGTTTTTATATAGCTAAACTAAGAAATGTAAAATATACTCTGAAACACATTTTGTTTAAACCATTTTGATTTTGCAAAATAGCAAAATATTTGTGATTATTTAGTAATATGCTTATTTTTTTAAATTTAATATTATAGATATATATTTAGAAATGATAAATGTTTTTTATTACGTAATTAAAAAACAGGTAAACATTATTAAATCAGTATTCGGACTTTAATAGTCCCATGTTTTAAACAGGTGAGAAAACTGTTTTTTTTACTATCTCTATATATTGTTAAAATTTATGACCTTTATGATAAATTTATTAGACTTATTTAATTATTATATCATGAATATTTTCAAGACCGAAGTTTAATTGTTATTGTAGAAATATCAAACATTATAATTAGAGATTTTAGTCAAAATTTTAAATTTATATTCATGCTATTTTGATATATATATACCAACCAATTGATTAGTTAATTGCAAAATTTGCAGATCATGAAAATCGGAGATTCTGTGGATTTTAAGAATCAAATAAATATAACTGATCGAAAATATTAATTATTAAACAATTTAGAATCTCTGAAATTTTCTCTTCATCATCACAAAAATCATGAGGTTACATAATTTTGCAATGCGCTTTAATCATTTGTGAGGGACCAGCATGTGGTTGGTTCGAACATGAGGTCAATTAGTATTTAAAGTCCGCCAATGGTTTGTAATCACAAAAAATACCAATTGACCTCACGTTGATGTTGGTCCCTCACATTTTACTATTGCATAATGAGCAAAATTTAAAGGTTGCACCAAATTCAATCTTATAACTATAGAAAATTAATTTGTTTATTACTGAAAAAATCATGAAATTTCAAAGTAAAAGCATAAGAAGCTTTAGTATAATTTTTTTTGTTGGAAATATCGTTATAATAAGTTTAGAAGTTGTACAAAAAAGTCACTGTGTGTATCCAAAGCATGTTCTGAGATGACCATTAGAAAAGATTTTTTTAAAAAAATGTATACTATATAAATGTATAATAATATTAATTGATATACATATGATTAGCATTTTGCAAAAAGATTTGATCCTTGGTTTTTGTAATGATCGAGGAAAAATTCCTGAGATTCTAAATTATCTATTAATTCATAGTTTTGATTAGTTAATTTTATATTTATTTGAAATTGCCAAGGCTCTTAAAATCTTTAGAATCTCTGATTTTCACATGACATTGTAATCTGCAGAGGTATAAAGCGCAATAAAAAAATCGGAAATCAGAAGTCATCACTTTTTTTTTTTTTTGTTATGCAAATTTTACTTAGCGATAGTTTTGCAAACTGCAATAATTGATTAATTGACTAATCAATTGATCAATTGAATCGATTAATTGGTTAGTTGTTTATAATCTATTTTTAGTTAGTTTTTTTAAAAAATTTTGGCCAGCTAATCGATTGCATTTTTTGGTTTGATTTGAAACATTAGATCTGTCTTGTATGCCTGATTATGTGATCTATATTACAAATGATTGGCTTTAATTAGCATTAAAAGGCTTTGAATTTACAACAGTTTTTGTTTTTCTTGTAAAATATATGTTGTACCCCGAATTGGAATCTGCCCCGATTCAGAATCAGGGCAGTCCCGGATAGAATTTTGTAATTTTGGTACGAATTATAAAAATTTTTTATTATAAACTTTAACCCTAAACACTAACCCTAAAACCTTAGTTCTTCCAAAATAATCCACAAGATTCCCATCCAGGGCTGAATCGGGTCGATTCACGCATATATATAATATATATATATATATAATGTATAGTTGAAATATAATAGGGTGATTCATAATTAACTTATTTCAAAAATAAGTAGGGTACAAAAATGTCCTATTTCTGCTTTGAAATTTTAAAGAAATAGAAGTTATTCGGAGATAAAATGAGTAACCTTTTTTTTTGATGATACATTTATACTGTCGTAATAAATCAATGAACTACAAATTATCGCTTAAAATTTTTTTTAAATTCTTAACTAATATTACATACGAATTATCAATATTTAAATGTGAGGGGCCAACATGAGGTTGGTTCCAACGTGAGGTCAATTAGTATTTAAAGTCCGTCAATGATTAGTAATCACAAAAAATACTAATTGACCTCACGTTGGAACCTCATGTTAGTCCCTCACATTTAATATGCCTTCCAAAAAACTTTTAAACAAACCACTAAAGAAAAGAACTTGAGAAAAAATCATAAAACTTGATAGTTTTTTCACGAATAGTAAGATATCGATCTAATACAATTGTTTCCTTGACTTCTTTTTCAAGAATATTAGCCGTATATCTATGGGTACTATTATAATTTTATTCTATTAGTATTTCAAAATATATGCTATTTATATTTTAATATGTAATTGTCGATCAGAAATATAAGGCATTTAAAATATATATAAAAAGATACAGTAAAATCTCACAATAGTCACATCTCATAGCTTTATTATTATATACTGTTGAACCTCCCAAAATCGATCCTTTTAAAACTGATAACCTGTTAAATCTGATAGAAATTTAGTCTACCAAGTCTGTTCTATTATATAAATCTAATAGTTTATAATGTTTTCAAAACTAATAATCTCTCAATACTGATACAAAATTTGTTCACTATGCATATCAGTTTGGGGAGGTTCAACAGTATATACTATATATATATATTATGTGATATATACATATTTTTATAAGTGCAGAAAACTTAAAATGATTAAACAATTTGCAATCTAAACCTACTAGAGTATTCTATATTTTGCATCATATATTATTTGGATTTTAACTACTAAATCCTAATTTATGCTTATTGCTTTTTTTTATATTCATTATATCTCTTATACTTATTACATACAAATACCATATTTAGTACTCTCTTGAGAGCCTTGTAATCTTAAAATTTGGTTAAACCAAGGTTATAACAATGCTGAATTTAATTGTATTTAGCATAGCTCTAGTTTTTTAATGTTATATATATATTATATATATTACCAATTTTTGATAACAGATACTTCAAAAAAAACATCAAACTCTTTTCAACAATCACTTGAACCAAAAATTTTTACTAATAGAAAAATCAAAATTTTGTTAGAAACTTGTGGTCTATATAGTGGTTTGTTTAGAAGTTAACATTTACTTTACAGAACTTCTTTAAAGGTAACATTTGGCATGCAAGCCAAAAGTGTTATTATACAGAATAATTAACAGAAGGTGCCTTTGTATAAAAAATCTTGGTAGAGTGTAGTTTGTCTAGCTTTGTCAATGAAGCTTCTAAATTGTTACTTCAAAGAAGAATACAGAGAAAACAACAAAAAATAATTTTCTCAAGCCACACTCCTTTTACTAAGTCAAGTAGTTTCTTTTTTACTTTTTCTCATATTCTTGCTAGTTTTCTAAAAAATTTTTAATAAAAAGTAGAGATTTGGCTTATCTCTTTAAAAGATTAGCATTATTTACTTTCCAAATTTGGACAGATTAGCAGAATGCAACTACATGATTGTTTATAAACAGATATAGTGCTACTTTATAAAACTTGGTTTAAAAATTCTAATTATAGTAGCAGGTGGCT